TTAGCGGTCAGTGAGCGTTCACTAAATAGTGTCAATATCTTCCGAACTAAACCTGCGAGACAACGAGCTGGTAGCTCGATGGTTAGAACGTTAGACTCTGACCGGAGAGGTCGCGAGTTCGAGTCTCGGCTGGTGTGCCACTTGGGGTTGGATGTGACCGGCTGATGTCAGGGTCCGAGAAATGAGACCCAAGACAGAATGGGACAAGTGATTTCCATTAGCGGTCGGTGAACGTTTAGTGACGAGTGCCAATAACAGTATTTACACGATTGGAGCGGTCTAGCAAAAATCAGAGGTCATCTGGACCTACCAAAAACCGGCAGAGTCAATGCCTTTGAAAATGACAATCATTAAGAAAGTCCGACCTGGGGTTCAGAGCATATAAAGATCAGAAGTCAGAGGAAGTGAAACACAAAAATACGAAACTCACCTAGGTCTTCTAGGATGGTTGATTGGGGATCGTACTTTTGAAGCATGTGTTCTGTCTTGACCATACCAGGCCAGAGCGCAAGTACCGCGACACTTTTCTTCTTCTCAAGAAGTTCGTGGGCCATATCGGCGGCCATGCGATCTACTGCAGCATTGCCTGAAAGAAGATAAAAAGAAGCGGAGGGGGGGGTCAGTAACAGCTATCGGCAATTGGCAAAATGATCGAGTTTCCAACAAAAGTTGGAGGCAGCACAGCATCTACCACATTCTCTCTTCCTCTACCCACTTGGGCTTGGCGTCATGACCAAGAAAATGAAGCGAGAGGAGGTGCAAGTTGTTGGGATTATTCCTAACAAGCAGTCCGAGCGAACGTTCAGGTCATGTTATTGGCCCGCTGCCCACAGATAAAGAACAAAGGACAAAGGTCACACAAGCCGGCGTGCCCCGCAGGCGCGCGCGTGATGGCCAACCAAGCCTCTAGGCGCATGAAGACACAAATTAATTGGCCCCATGTATAACTTTGCTTAACATATAGCCCCTGTTCAGAGGGCAATAAACGACTTCCTTTCCTTTACGACTTTGTTCGTTGTTCTCCCTGCTGAACTGATACAAAGAGACTGGCGGCAAAAAATAGCTTTGGGAAGCCATTACAACACAAGTGACTGGCTCGGATCCAGCTAAGTGGGAGTGCCATACAGGTAATTGGGAGCCATTGCAGCCTGACCCTCAAATACACACTGAGCTGGCTGCGAGGTCCGAGTTACCCCATACCCTGGCGACTTTCCAAGCCGCGGCTTTCAGGGCATCGTGGTAGGCTCAGGCACGTCAGATTGGTTATACTGAGACTGCACAGAACCGCCAACATTTTCCGTGCATCAGTCTATTATCCGACCCGGTCAACCACAACTGATGATGACACTGGGAAAGGTGGCTTACGGGGCTAGGAGCAGCTTATCTACGCGTACCACACACACGACCCGTCTCGCCCAGCTGCGCGTGCCACACACTGTCTGACATCGCACGTGAGAACCACGAATCTGCCTACCTGTATCTGCTGAGCCGCAACTCTGTACAGAGACCACACCTATATTATTAGAAACATTACCTCTGGCAACAGTATCCTAGTCCTCGCAGTCCAAACTTAGTAGAAACTGCCACAGTCTGGTGGATAGAGTTAGGTGGGCGGAAACCAAGGGAAACCCTGTTGTGCTCCGGGCTTCAGACCTGTATTTACTGGGAATAGCATAATCCAAGATTCAAACTCCTTGTTGAGATTGAGGGAATATGAGTCTAGCGCTGACCTTAATCAGCGTCACTTCTTACTAATATTGGCGTCACTAATAGCACCAGTAGTAGAAATAGCAGTATCAGTAGTAGTAGTAGTAGTACCAGCCTCGGTCTCATTGAGTCTGTCTTGACGCCTGCTGAAGGTTCATGGGGGTAGATAGTGCGGTTGTGCCAGCGAAAAATTCTACTGTCACTCAAAGCTAAGGTAGACGGTGTTTTGATCTGCATTATGAAAAGCGGCCTACGCCTGATCCCGTTCAGTCATCTCGACTCTGTTTTGTCCCCGGTTCAATCGAATTGAGTGTTCAGATTGCGGTAGACGGCTGCGCGTCTATTTCACTTAAATCGAATTTCTGACTACAGTCACCCTCCTTGATTCTGAGCACATGATGAACTTCAGCGAAATCGCTGGTCGAACTATCATAATCATCATCAGTATCTTCCGCCCACACCAGAATTTCGCATAAGAGAGTAAACTGCTCCGGCCACACTGTAGTATAGACGCCACCTGCTGAAGTAGTCGAATAGCAGACTTCCCATTTACCAAAGAGGTACCGATTGCATGCTTGCAGGATGTGTGGGGTTTAAAGTGTTCAGGTTTGAGGACAATGTGGTGATGTGGAACGGCCGGTGGTATTAAATAGCTGGTTGTGAAGTCCTATGCGGCATCTGCATGTCTGTTAACAGTGTGGGCAGATGGGATGGGAGGCGCAAGTGACCGACCTGACCGATGCGTAATGAACAGGTATAGTGGTAATGTGGGCAGGATAGGTTGGGAGCTGCAAAGTCGGATGCGGTGCTGTTGATGGCTGGGGAGTTGTCAGGTGTGCAAAGCCTACTTGGCTTGTGGACACCGCAGTGGCTTTTGTTTTCGTGGACGCGCATGTGACCAAATAGGCCTATGCGCAGAGCCAATGCTCGTGAGCCGTGTGGGCAGTAGAGGTGGATGCGGCGAGTGCATACAGGGGTTCCTGGCACTGATGCACCTGTCACAGTACGATGGATTTATGTGTGTGTGACCGACCTGGCCGATGCTTAAGGTGAATGTGCGATTGCCATGAACAGAGTTTGATATGGAGCCTGCATTGAGGCGTCGGTCAGCGTCTTGGTTCCCCGGTGTCTTAGCAGGGATGAGGAAGACGGCGGTGAGCAACAAACACCACAGTTTGACAGTAGATTATGACGATGCCAACCGTTTGCTCCTCGACAGTTTGGCGCAGGGACGGTGACTTGCACCGAATTACAGTGGAAGTAGACTTTCGAAGCATCTACCTCACTCGCTATTCCATCCTTCCCCACCTGCGCCCGGTGTCAAGAGGGTCGGAGACGAAGAAGGGCGCAGGTGGCTGGTTCAGTGTGAATCTGCATCCATGACAATGGGCATTTGTTATGAGAGCCCAACCCAAATAATGCCTGCTGTACCCTGATCTGGCCCCTGTGTTGGTGCAGCGAATCCAA